CAGGTGTCCAGCATGGGTGTCCCAAGAGCTTGGCAGCCAAGAGAGTGGTGAGGATTACCATGTGAGGTCGTGTCCATCAAGGCTTGAGAAACCTAGGAGTTAACTGTTTGAGGAGTACTCTGACTTCTGGGGAGAGCAGGGCAGGTTTAGGGGCATTAGGGTCCACTGGTGTGGTGGCAGAAAGACAACTGTCAGCGTGTGAACGGAGAAGGGACCTTAAAAGGGAGAGGTAGGGTAGGTACCCCGCCAGTGGAGGAGTTTGAACTGGGAGGTGATGGTTAAGGAGAAAGGGCCTTCCATAAAGCAACTCTAAAGGGCTCAGGCCCATAGGGGAACGTGGGGTGGATGGCCCTGAGATGAGTCAAGGCAATGGGGAGAAGGGAAGGACAAGATAACCTGAGTTCAATGGTTGCTTTTTGTTGTTTGATGAGTCCCATTGTCCAGGAGATGTTGAGAGCTTCTGACACGAGCTCTAGGACCCTGAGCCACCACATCTGCTGTTTCCCTGGAGACCAGAAATCCTTCTATCCATCCTGTAAAAGTGTCCACAAGTGTTAAGAGATAATAGAGTTTTTTATGAGTAAGCATATGGGTAAAATTAACCTGCCAATCTTTGTCCGGTTGGTGTCCACGAAGCTGCTGTATGTGGAGAGCTCCTTGTGGGTTGGCCTGGGAACACGTCTGGCAGAAGGAGCCCGAACCTGTAAAATAGAATCTTGGAGATGGGTGGGGTTAAAAGGGGGCTCCAAGAAGCAGAACAAAGCTTTGGGGGAGTGGCTAAGGATATCTCCACCCAGTAAATGTGCTGGGCAAGTGGTATCGCTAAGAAAGAATGAGAGACAAAATGTTCTGCAAGATGATAGGGCAGTGGTAAAGTTTTAAGTGGGGAGGAACAGGTCCTGTCCACCACCATAGCTGAAATTGGTGAGGGAAACTTAAGGCCTGAGTGAAAATAAAGTAATGGACTTATCCGGACTTGTAGCATAAACCAAGTCTGGGCAGCATCAATTCTCTACAAGACTGAGACATTTGAAGGCTGGCACAGTTTCGCTTGCACCTCAAAAGGGTACCTGCTATTTTCATCCTGTCATTTATCTTTCTGAGATCCTGTAGCATGCACCCAGTCTTTTTAATTAGCCTTTTTAATTACAAAGACAAGGGTACTCCCTCCAAGGTCTCCAGGAAAAACATGTATGTCCCAACTATAGCAGCTTCTGAAACAGAGAGCGAAGGGACCCCAGTTTAGTCTTGGCAAGAGGCTACTGCCCCACCAAAATAAGGTCTCTGGGTTTCCATCTAATCACTGGGATCAGGTGGCAGTGGCCTCTAGGGATGAGGGTGATGCCTCTGATCATGTTCCTCCTGGGACCTAGCATGGGCTTGTATTTCCTGGGATTCATTCACTTTCCTATGTTCCCCCATCTGCCAATCCCCCTGTTCCAGGAAGTCATCAAAAAAGACTGGGCTAGCTCAGTCGATAGAGCATGGAACTCTTAACCCCAGGGTTGTGGGTTCAAGCCCCACGTTGGGTGCCAGCTGCGGTGTCTCTCTGTAGACCCCGCCATAGAGTTGAACCATCCACATGCTGCTGACCCTGGCTGAGAAGAGGAAGTGCAACACTTGTCACCGAGCCCCTGGGGTCCCAGAGACAATCAGACGCAGGAGGGAGTAGAATCAAGCAGGAACTCATTTATTTCCTTACAACATGCAACCTATAAAGCAAAATCCAATGAATCCCAGAAGAAACGGAAGGGAAATCGGCCAATCACGTCAGCAGTCACATCTGTAGGAGCCCGCAGCTCCTATAGTCCCTACTGGGAATCACGCGGGCATCAGGCACTTTATTTCATCTTACCCTATCTCTAACTCCAATCATCTTCTTGTGAATAAGTCAGATCTCCTCCCCCCTTGTTCCCCTTTAGCGTCATCTTGGCTAGGAATATTCTTCATGGACTTTACAATGTCACCATTTTTGAATTTTTTTTTTTTATTGAGAAAAGGAAAAAAAAAACAACAAGTTTCCGCCTCCTCCCAGCCTCCCATTCCCCCCCCCCCTTCTCCTACCCTTCTCCTCCTTCCCCTACTCCTTTCCCCCTCCCTCTCCAGTCCAAAGAGCAGTCAGGGTTCCCTGCCCTGTGGAAAGTCCAAGGTCCCACCCCTTCGTCCATATCTAGGAAGGTGAACATCCAAACTGGCTAGGCTCCCACAAAGCCAGCAAATTAAGTAGGATCAAAACCCCGTGCCTTTGTCCTTGGCTTCTCATCAGCCCTCATTGTTCGCCATGTTCAGAGAGTCCGGTTTTATCCCATGCTTTTTCGGTCACAGTCCAGCTGGCCTTGGTGAGCTCCAAATAGATCAGCCCCACTGTCTCAGTGGGTGGGTGCACCCCTCGTGGTCCCGACTTCTTTGCTCATGTTCTCCCTCCTTCTGTTCCTCATTGGGACCTTGGGAGCTCAGTCCAGTGCTCCAGTGTGGGTCTCTGTCTCTATCTCCATCCATCACCAGATGAAGGTTCTATGGTGATATGTAAGATATTCGTCAGTATTGCTATAGGATAGGGTCATTTCAGGTTCCCTATCCTCAGCTGCCCAAGGAACTAACAGGGGACATCGCCTTGGGCTCCTGGGAGCCACTCTAGGTTCAAGTCTCTTGCCAACCCTAAGGTGGCTCCCTTAACTAAGAATTGTGCTTCCGTGCTCCCCTATCTAACCTTCCTTTATCCCAATCATCCCTTTTCCCCAAGTTCCCCCCATCCTCCCCTTCTCCCTTTTCTCTCCCCATCTCCCCTTACCCCCATCCCACCCCACCCCGAAGATCCCAATTTTCTCCCCGGCAATTTTGTCTACTTCCCATAGCCAAGAGGATAACTATGTGTTTTTCCTTGGGTTCACCTTCTTACTTAGCTTCTTTAGGTTCACCAATTGTAGACTCCGTGACCCTTATTTATGGCTAGAAACCAATTATGAGTGAGTACATCCCATGTTCATCTTTTTGGGTCTGGGTTACCTCACTCAGTATAGTGTTCCATTTTTTAATTTTGTGCCTTTTCCTAACTGTCACACTTTTGGCGTAGCTCTTAAGCTTTTGGTGCCAACTGCGCCTTTTTCTAATTCACTTTTTTTTTTTTTTTGTGCTAACTTGGCCATTCCAGCCCACAGGTAAAGGGCCTGCATAGGTCCAATACTATGGGGTCTCAGTGCTGAGAGGTCAAGATGGACACCATCTACCTCCAAACAAGAAACTGTCTCCAATTTAAAACTGCTTACAAGTGAATATTAGGTTTCATCCAAGACCATTTTACTGGATATACAAACCACACTTCAGGGCAGGCCTCATGCCCAGCAATAGATTGCCAACTTGAGTGAACTCAATTGTGTTTTTTTTTGGCCTTTCTTTTTTGGTCTCATAATGCTTTAACTGGGTCATTATTAAAGATATTGGTCACTTGCGTATATGTAACAGTTTCCAATTTTGTGGTTTTAAATACATTTGTGTGTCTATATGTCTTTGCAAATATATGAGCTTCTCATGTTTTTGATTTTTTACTTTTTTTTGTTTGTTTGTTCTATTCTGGCTTGATTTTTTACTTGTGTGTTTCCATAAAGAAAGAAGGAATGTGTGGAGTTAGATATGCACAGAGATCTGCCTATAAAGGTACCAGAAGCTTATATAACAAATAAACTAGACCAGACAAGAAAATTCCCTTGCTATATACTGAGCAAAACACTAAACAACAGAACAAGAAAAGAATATTAAAATCTGCAAAGAAAAAAGGCCAAGTACATATAAAGGCAGACTTGTTAGAATTACACCATATCTATAATTCTTGTAAAAAAAAAAAGTAAAGCTGTTATTTCTAGTGTCACTACTTCTAGCCATGCTCACATAAATCTAATTGGAAATTGGGAACTGTTTATTATCTGGGAAGCTTAGATAATCTACATTTTAAACAAATGTGGTTGCAATGGGGATAAAGATGACTGAATAACAAGGAGGTGAGTTAATTTGTGAAGCTCTAGAAAGTAAATGTTTTAGACAATCTAGTTGCTGTTGTAAGCACTCAGCTGCTGTTTCCATGTGAAAACAGCAATGGACAGACAATTCGTGAATGAATGACCATGGCTGTTTTCTGGTTCCTTATTGAGACTAATGGCAGGCCTGGTTTTTTAACTGTACGTTGTCATCTGCCAAGCCTTGGGAAACAGCAGTTGTTTAGATCATATTCAATTATTGCAAAATTAATTAGTTCTTTATTGTGTGACCTTTAGGAGGTTCCCATTTTTTCTTCTGAAAGTGATGCTTCAGTGAGAAGATTTATATATATATTACATTACACAAACATAAATATATTTGTAGAATTAATTGCTGCAAATATTGTCATAGAAACTATATATATATTCATTTATATTTTGGCTCTGATCATTTTATGTGAAATGTTTGTTTATATTGCATAATTAAATGCATTGTATTTTGAAAATATGAAGACATTGTAGAAATGATGTCTCAATTTAATAAGATTGGTTTATCTTGCCTTTCTAAAAATTAATTTATTAGATCTTCAAATTTAATTCTTTTATCAGCTTCATATTGAGCAGATTAGCTGGAAGTGTCCCATGTTCTTTAAACTCAGGAAGGAAAGAGTTACTCTGTGTTTTCAATTTTGAGAAATGATCCAAATGATTCTAGAATGTGCAAGAGAGGTTTCTATTTCATGCATTTGATAAAATAGCATTTGATAAAATAAACGTGTACATCTTAGTCATGTGGGGGATATATCTGAACATTTAAGCTTCCTCGAGTCTGTATCGTGTCAAGTTGAGTTTAAGTTCTGGTATTTTTGTATTTCCTCACACCTTCTTTGTGATTGTGGAGATCTGATAAAGCCACAGCTGTGAAAAGCCTCCTGCAGAGTCTCCTCATGTTAGCGCTGTAGGTGCACACCCAGCTGCAGTTTGCAGACAGGCTGCAGGCTTGCAGGGAGCACTGTGCATAAGCAGCACAGAAGTAGGTGCCTGAGTCCTCCAGCTGGGCATCCCTGATGTGCAGGGTACTGTAACGCTCCTTGGAGTCAAATGTTGAATTTAACCTCCCATTCTCCTTTCTTCCTGGAGCCAGGTAGAAAATATTGATGAGATTGCCTCTGGAATTCTGCCGGAACCACTGCACAGTTGTCATAGTGATAGAAAAGTTGCATGACAGAGTAGAACTTTTTCCCTCGTGGAGACTCAGGGCTGAAGGACTCTGCTCCACCTCAGCTCCTCTCACCCCTGCGTGGAAACAGAAAAACAAACCAGAGTCACTGAAGGGCTTTTACCCACACCTGTCAAATACCTCGGAGACACCACGAGAATGACCATACAGGGGTTTGGGATGGCTCATTCCCCCTCCTCCATTGCCATCTCTACAGACTCCCCAAAGCAACTTAGGTGAGCACAACTCACAGCAAATCTGCACCCACAGAGCCCCCAGCACAGCTCTCAGCTTCCTCTCCATGGCCCCTGTCCAGTTTCCCGGGTGTCTTCTCTCCAGCTGTGAGGGTGTCAAGCCTTGTGTCTAAACACGCTTGTGCTTATACACAGCAGATTCTCCCTGAAGCGCTGAGCTTCCTCATTCATCTGAACAAGAAACTCCACCCACCTCCATCTCAAGAGTCTGCATGGCAATTGCTCCACAACTGTGGAGGACAATGAGACCCCAGGACACTAGATTTCTAATGTAACACTCCTTATAAGGTGAATTTAGGGGAAAATGTGTGAGGAGGGGAATTCATAAATGCCGAATATTGGTGTGAAAACTAATGGCTTCAGTGGGTTAAGCAGAATATTGAAGAATACTAGCAACATTCTTTAATTTTTTTTGTAAAAGAATTTCATACATTATATCCTTATCTTGTGTCCCATCTGCAAACTCTTCCCAGATCTTTTCTGTCTCCTCCTCCACCCTAAGACATTCCTTTTCGCTCTCCTGCTACCTCTCTCTTTAGAAAGGAAATAGACAAACAAGCAACCAGAATTAAAAAAAATAATAACAAAGAATAAACATACACACAAAAAAATAAAACACAAGAGAGGTAAGCATAAAATAAATACAAAAGTCCTATAAGACCAAAAAAGAAAAAAAAAAAGCAACAACAGAGCAGTATGATACAAAAACATCATTGGGGTCGTACTGTGTGGCCATCTACTGCTGGGCCATGGGACCACACTTCAGTGTATTTAATGTACCCAGTGAGAAGGTCCTGGCACCTTAAGTCACACAGTGGGACAATCAGTACGCAATACACTACAAGAAATAATAAGAATTTCTTGAAATTATCAGATTGTTATGTGCATAGAAAATGTTCCCCAACACAATTTTTTTATTGGTTTTAAGAAAAACGAGTCATGCCCGTGTTTTCTCCATAATTTATTTTCAATCTCTTGCCTTCTGCCCAGATCTTTTATGTATGAAAACACAGATGATTCTGACCAGGCTGTGAATTCATGCTCAAGTTCAGCGAGGCCCACACCCTAATGCTTTTTCATACCACATATTTTCCAGTTTTCTTCTTAAACATTTGATAGATAGGTAATGTGTATATATTATATATGATATAAAGGGAATTGGAATAATTTCCAGTTTTTTGAATATAGGAAAATTTAAAAAATAAAACAAAAATTGAAAGCAGTGGAGATATGTTTTATCTTGAATGTCCATCCTTACAATGCCCAGTGAGAGTCTGTTTTGCTTACATCTGTTCAGAGACCTGTTTTTAAAATGGATTTATAAGTACAGAAGATCGAGTGAGCAAATTCTAAATACCTGTGGTTTTATATAGAATGATTGAGATCTAAATTTCTGGTGAACTCCAGTCAGTCACCCCTACTCCTTGCTTTGTGATTGAATTGCCTTATGTCTTTGCTGGAATCTATTTTTTATTAATAGCAGTTTGATGAGATATTATATAATATTCATATACCTACATTGAGCATGTACAAATATCTTCCAACGACAATTTTAAATTGCTTTTATTGAGCTATATATTTTTCTCTGTTCCCTGCCCTTTCGCTCCCCTCCCTTTGTATCCTCTCCCGTGGTCCCCATGCTCCCAATTTACTCAGCAGATCTTGTCTTTTTCTACTTCCCTTGTGGATTAGATCCATGTATGGGGCCTCTTTGTTGTCTAGGTTCTCTGGGGTTGTGAATTGTAGGCTGACTTTTTTTTTTTCTTTTTCTTTTTTTTGCTTTATGTCTAAGAACCACTTATGAGTGAGTACATCTATTTGTCTTTCTGGGTCTGGGTTACCTCACTCAACATGATGTTTTCTAGCTCCATCCATTTGCCTGCAGATTTCAAGATGTCATTGTTTTTTTCTGCTATGTAGTACTCCATTGTGTAAATATACCACATTTTCCTTATCCATTCTTCAGTTGAGGAGCACTTAGGTTGTTTCCAGGTTCTGGTTATGACAAACAATGCTGCTATAAACATAATTGAGCACATGTCCTTGTGGTATGATTGAACATACTTTGGGTATATACCTAAAAGTGGTATTGCTGTTTTTTTTTGTTTTGTTTTGTTTGTTTGTTTTTTGGTTTTTCTTTTCTTTTCTTTTTTTTTATTGCTGGGTTTTGAGGAAGGTTGTTTCCTGATTTTCTGAGAAATCGCCATACTGATATCCAAAGTGGCTGTCCCAGCTTGCACTGCCACCTCTAGGCAGTGTAAGAAAACATAATTTCTAGGAACTCTGCAGTGCCCCCTAGTGGACTGACAACAACAACAAAAGTGACTTGAGGCCATCTCCACAACTGTCACTAAATCAACACTTTTCACCCCATCCTTTCTTGGTGAAGGAAATGCAGATGGTAGGAAAACATGACTGTCAGATGGAATTCTCAGAAGAAATAAAATTGGCTAAAAAAATCTCAATATTGGTCATCATCGTTAGTAATTAGAGAAATGCAAAAAAAAAAATAATAACTTTGAGATTTCTTCTCAATCCAGCCAGATTAACTAGAATTGAAAAACAAAACAAAGTAAGAAACAGCTGATAACAAATATTGGGGAGTTGTGTTGGGAATGGGAACCCACATTCATTCTAGGGAGATGCACATTGGTGCAGTTCCTCTGGAAATAGGTGTGGAGAATTTTCTAAATGCTGAAGATAAGTACCATATGTTCAAGCTATACCACTTCTGGGTCTATGTCCAAAGAGCTCTCTGTCCTACTCCACAGGTATTTTCTTAGCGATGTTCTATTGCTCTTCTATTCATAGTAACTAGGAAATGGAAACAACTGAAAAGTCTCTTAGCTGATGAAAGATAATGACAACGTGGTACCTATGCATTATGGAATATATTCTAAAGTGAAGAAAATGCCACCATAAACTCTGCAGGTAGACCAATGGAATTAGAAAAATTAGTTTGAGTGATTTGACCAAGACCCAGAAAGAAAAATGCCACATGTTCTGCTACTGAACTCCTAACTCCAATGGAAATTGTAGAGATAATTCCAAATCTTCAAATGTGAAAATACAACTTGGTGTAACCACAGAGGCCAGAAAGATACAAAAGGGATCATGTGTTTGGGGGAAGCAAGGTAAACATAATTTAATGGGAGAAATAGAAAAAATTAGGGGAAAGAAGGCACACATAGAAGGAGGGAGATGAAGGAGGGTGAAATTGCAGTAACTGTATTTTAAAACATTTTAAGGAAACATATTAGTATCTATTTAGCTAAAATTACACAGAAATACATAAGTGTAGCTATATGTGTGTGTACATATAAATACATAGTTTGAATTAAATGTTTCCATCTGTGCTGACAGTACTTCTCTCAAGAGCCATAGATATATTTAAAAAAAAAACAACTCAATACCAGTCATGGGATACCCTCATGCAAGTTGTTGATCAGGAAACTTCAAGAGACTCTTTACCCTTTTAGACTATTACTATTGACCTTGCTTGTATCCCAGAAATTTCACTGGATCTCTATTGATGATGACATCATTTTAAACACAGTACTGAAAGGATTCCAGCTTGATCTGACTCGAAGCCATCCTCCCCGATTACTAACATTCATGACACCAGAGGGTGCCATTCAAATTTCCAAGGGAGAGAAGCAACAAATTATCCTCCCTGACTGTTACGTCTATCAACTACAATGATCAATATGGTATGAAAACCTAAGTATGCAATAGTGGGACTCATATCTTTGTGGGAATAAACGGCTCTCTAATTGGACATAGAAACAAGAGGAAAATCACTGTCAACTACTCAGGCTAGTGAGGTTAGGTATCTTGGAGGAGACCTACAACCACCTCCTTACTAAACCAGCATAATCCCTAAGTACATTCTAAATAGCTACCATTGTAACCACATATAATGTAGTCCTCAATCAAATAATAACTACAACCAATAAAAATGCAGAGAATAGTAATCATGTGGTGCTCTGCCTCAGCTGATCTATGTGGATACTCAAGTGAGAATCACTTACATAATACTAAGCCAACCAACTTCTCACACAAACGGGAAGGTGCTCTAGGTGGGTCCTACTCCATGCAGAGGAGTATGATCAGTTGATAGCTGCCGGAGGAGGACAAATCATTCTTCTTTGAAGGTGTAGATGTTTGTAGTCTCCCCATGCTTCAGTGGATGGCCCATACCCATACACATACTGACAACACTTTTGGACTTTATATCTTAGTTTTCCTTCCATTGCTATAGATAATACCTTGACAAAATGCGGTTTGGAGATGAAAACCTTCATTTTTGCCTATGGTATCAGATTGCATGCTATCACTTATGGAAGTCAGTGCAGAAACTTGAAACCAGGACTGTTTGCTATTCTATACTCTATTACCTCTAGCAAAGGAATGCACTTTACAGCTAATGAGATACAAAAAGGATAAAGGAGAATGTGACTTACTATCTGACTTGCAGGTGAACTAATACTAATCTAGATTTTTTTATACAATTTATGACCACCTGCCTAGGATGTTCTGGAACATAGTGGGCTTGACCTTCCTACACATATTAACAATCAAGAAAACCCCCATAGCTCAGTCGGTAGGTAGAGCATGGGACTCTCAATCCCAGGGTCGTGGGTTCAAGCCCCATGTTGGGCGCCAGATGAAGGCGTAAGTCACAAACAATCCCACACCAGTTTGGAATTATGATTAATAGAATGGTTATTTATTTAAAGGGGAAAAACTTACAGATCACCATCCCAGACAACAGCCCTCTGCACAATCAGGAAAGGAGCCTAGTCACCGGAAGCAGAGATGGAAGCCAGAGAGAGAGAGAGAGAGCAGAGGGATGTGGCCGCTTTTTTAAAGATAGAGAGACCATGCCCCAATGGGCTGGTATCTCAGCGGCTATTGGCTGAAGGAGCGGAAAGAGCTCCCACACTATGTAATAAGTAAGAGACCCAATGGTACAAAGTCCAACCAAAACATCTACAATACAACCCCTCTATCTAAGACTCTAGGAAATCACAGAAGAGGTGGCAGAAAGATTGTAAGAGACAGAGGACTAGAATGCCTGATACTAGATAGGTTCCTCTAGAAATGACAAGTGAAATGTACCCATATGTCTCAAAAATATGGTTGCCTGAGCAAAGCTAACATGATGATAACACCAGTTGGCATTTCAACATGGATAAGGGAGAGTACACATGATTCAACTGATAAGAACATCAGGTGGTCAAACCTGTGGACAGAGATAGAATCAGTTTCTTTCAGGGACAACCCCTCACATAGGTTTTGCAATTCCACATCCTCAGACCTGAACACATGTGCATATAGATAATAATAAATGGATTCAGTAGAATGCTTGTAAATAATCTATGTATAATGTAGACTTGGAGTATTTGGAGGAAGAGAAGACTGAATGAAGTGGGGTTGGAACAAGGGATGGTGGTGAGATAAATATGAGCAAAAAGTGATATATCTGGATGAAAACGTTATGAAGAAACATTTAGTGGACATTGACTGAAAATAAGATTTTCTTAGTAAATTTTAATCTTTTGTGGGAAATCTACTAAACAGAAAATTAAATGGAAGTGCAGACAAACATAAGGATGTCATTCATTGAGGCTACAAACTCAGTTTACAGTGAGAGTTGACAACAGGCTCTAAACAGGAGTGTAGGTGGAGAGTGTACTTTCATTTCCTGGCCATCCAGACCCAAATAATCACAAGAAAACTATTAATTCCAACACTTGCCAAAGGATCAGGCTTATTCCTAGCTAGCTTTCATCATAAATTAACCCGTTTGCATTATTTTATATTTTACCACAACGCTCGTGGTTTTTGCTTCACATCTTGCTTCTTGGGTGGCTACATGGTATCTGCTTGTCTCTGTGTTCTTTCTTTCTGCATTTAGTTTAGGTTTGGCCTGCTATTGGCCACAGCAGTTCTTTATTAGCCAGTGGCATTAAAACATATTCATAGCATACAGAAGGGAATCCCATACCATAGGAGTGTAGAAAAACTCAGCTGTGACAGGCACTTTGTGGCACTAGGCAAGGTATTTTTTTCCCCATCACATACAATTTCCGTTTCTGTAAATAACCTACACAATTTTTTTTGACATGGGCTAATAATAAGCAGCTATCAATTTATTTACCCATCATAGTAAACATTTCAGTAGATAATACCTTCAGTCACATGTAGCAATGCAGAAATAAAGCACAAAATTGTAAGACAAACTCCCAAATTCCCCTCAACTAATATATGTTAGGTCCTGAACTTCAGCCCAAGTCTTAGTCTTTGGAATGTTGCTATAATGCTCAAGGAGGGAAGGTTCAAGAACTTTAGCATATCCACTAAATACTGAACAAGAAAACACATGGATATCACACAGCACAGTAGCATCCCTATCTCAGATACTTGCTGAGTCTGCTTCCTGTGTCTTCCATTAAAGAGAAGCAGGCATACTCTGAGGTTGCAATGTCTGCCTGCATGAGAAAGCTCACGGAGTCTTCTGAGGTCTACTTGGCAGTCCATACTAATGAAAGCTTTCATGGCTTCTCCCAGATATATGTAGCCCATGACATGACTTAATGTCCCATGAAAATCCTTATATCATGATGGAAGGGTGAAGGCAGAATGGATGATAAGAAGAGCTCATCATTGTTTGTTTCCTACAGTGGTTTCTTGTTCACCAGTGACTTCTTCTAACCAACCAGCATATTTCTGGAGTATAAATGGGGCAACATATAAACACAAATTTCACTTAGCAAAAAACAAAACCAAAAACACCCTATCTTGGGTAACAAGGCTTGGTCCCATATATTAAGCAGGTTTCTGATCTCCAATCTATAACAACTGGAAATCATATTTGCCAATCTTACATGAATCATAGCCATATCTGAGAGCTGTAGAACAAACTCTAACACCTTCTATCTTAATCCTGCCTGGAATGATTATCACAAAGTTGTAGCTTCAGTCTAGAAAAGGTAGCTGCTGCTGCTCCTGTGCATTCTCATAATTTAACTAATAAGCACTAGAGGGCAGCCAGCAGCTCAGCTCAAATATCTAAATACTTCAGAACTCTGGTGGCAGAGGTTCAGTCAAAAACTTCTTCCTTTTGAATTTCAGAGAGACAAATATAGCATGTTTTTTCTCATATATAGCTCCTAGATGTTAATGTTTACACATACGTAGAAATGTGTAGGAATTCCACTGAAATAGAAATAGAAAAAGGTGTGAGAGAGAATAAAAGGGATCTAGCAGAAGTCTGAAAAAAGAAAAAAAGAAGAAAATTATACATCAAGAGAGTACAGGTGACATGAAACCAGACGGGGGATCAAAGGGAAAGCCAAAGAGCCAGTAGAAGGGGACTAGGGAAGCAGAATGTAGCAGTACTGCTGGGGGTCATCTAGGGATTTACAGAGCACATTCCCAGGAACAGACAAAGGACTGGATGTCAGGGAAAGACAGAAGACGAGCCTCAGGAGGAGAAAGCAAAGCTTTATCTTTTAGGGTTGGGAGATACCCTCAGGAGTTCACTAAACTGATTCTGAGCTGAGTCTTTTGTAGCTCTCTGGGTCCTCCTCTTTCTTCTGTTGGTCCAATTTAGATAACAACACCCTTACCTTCCAACCACTTCTATTCATGCGTCTTCAAGGAATGAGAAGCTTCTACCCCAGGGGCTGCTTATGCTTTCCCATCCACAAATAGCCCTCTCTCTAACTCTTTCAGAAGTTCATTATATTTGGTCCTAATTTTTGAGACTGATAAAAGGATTTAAGGTATAAATAAAATTTTAAAAATTAATAATTTTATTTTTCACACTAGGAATATGCTAAAGCCAGATTTTCAGGAGAAAAATGGAAAGATTTAGACATTCTTCACAGGCAGTTGCATTTGTGTCAAGTCTTACAGGAAGTGCAGAGCATCACTATGTTGGGCCTTGATGGGACAGTACTATGGTTAGGCAAAGCAAAACCTCAATGTAGACACAGCAATACCATTTCTGGGTATATACCCAATGGATGCTCAATAGTACCACAAGGACATGTCCTCAACTATGTTTATAGCAGCTTTGTTTGTCATAGCAAGAACCTGAAAACAACCTAAGTGCTCCTTGACTGAAGAATGGATAAAAAAATATGGTATATTTACACAATGGAGTATTAAACAGCTGAATAAAACAATGACATTTTAAAATATGCAGGCAAATGGATAGAGCTAGAAAACATCATGTTGAGTGAGATAACCCAGATCCAGAAAGACAAATATCGTATGTATTCACTCATAAGTGGTTTTTAGACATAAAACAAAGAAAACCAGCCCACATATCATAATCCCAGAAAACCTGGACAACAAAGAAACCCCTAAGAGAGACATACATAGATCTAATCCACAAGGGAAGTAGAAAAAGACAAGATCTCCTGAATAACTTGGGAGCATGGGGATCACGAGAGAGGGTTGAAGAGAAGGGGAGAGCACAGGAGAGGAACAGAGAAAAAATGTATAGCTCAATATATTCAATAAAAAAGATTTCATTGTTTACATTTAGTGAGTTCTCTAAGTGTCTTATCTTGCCTTCCTAGAATTCTCTGGCCAAACTAAGAGTTGTGGTTTTGCAGAATCCCTAAACTCTGAAGATTCTTCACTAGGTTTTAGTTTGGAGAGAATTTGCTAACGTCACAGTGAACCATTGAAGTCTGAGATCATTACTGATTAGGACTCCATGTGACATTTTATATCATTTAGTGTTTATTTTGTTGATCTCCAAAGCTCCATGAACTCATATGCACAATGCTTACCCTCTACAGCTATGTAGTGGCTCTCCTCATCTCTCTGACTACTTTGATCTAAATTTAGTCCACTTTCTCAGACATGAGGCTTGCTGTGCCACATTTATAGCTTTTCACTCACTTGGCCTGCTGATCTCCATCCTCTGACTGTCAGTTTTTGATGTTGTTTATGACAGGTTATGATGGAGAAACAGATAGTTGATTTTGTTTGTTGACATAGCCTGTGGCTTTTACTTGATCAGCTGAAGCCATTTATATTTTTATTGTATACAATTTATTTAATATATTAATGCCATTCAAAGACAGTGCCTGAACATTATGCTGTAGAATGTGCCAACCATGTTTGTCCCAAGGCACCTGTGCTCATGTTGCCTCGATGGTGCCCCATAGCTGCCAGTGGTTTCTGGGATTAATGCCAGAGCAGCCCTGGTGTCTACTCTAATGTATAATCAGTAAGACAATTACAGAATGTGTCCACTTCTTAATTCTACCTTTCCCTAACACAAAAAAACAGACTAAATTGATACCTATACACAATCACTTTACAGTAATGGTTGTTATTAAAGGGTCTGTGTGTAGCTTTAATCAGCAAATGTCTCCACTTTCTTCTTCTTCTACTTCTTCTTCTTCTTCTTCTTCTTCTTCTTCTTCTTCTTCTTCTTCTTCTTCTTCTAAATTTCCACCTCCTCCCCTCCTCCCATTTCCCTCCCCCGTCTCCCACTCTCCCCCCCCAGTCCAAAGAGCAGTCAGGGTTCCCTGCCCTGTGGGAAGTCCAAGGTCCTCCCCCTCCATCCAGGACTAGGAAGGTGAGCATCCAAACAGACTAGGCTCCACAAAGCTAGTACATGCAGTCTGAAGCTTTT